GACTTTTTCGAATAGATCGGTCCCTGGCCCACTTAACGGAAAAAATGGAGCCTATATCCTAATCTAGGCAAAAGGCTACCAACGTACCAAATGCATTTTTTAACGTAGCTCGCCCCTGCTCCACCTATCGGAAAAATTAAAACTTTGTGCACTCCTTCTAAACACATTTCCAAAAGAGCAGCACCCATTCGAATTGGTTATGAAACATAGGTGAGAATTGTTCACAGTTGAATCATGCTTCCAATGAATTTCACAATTATCCGAAATTTTCCAAGCTTCCGTCGAAAAAAATTTAAATTTTTCGCGTTCTTCCGGATTTTTCCGAGTTTTCCACTTAGAATTTTCTATTTTTCCACTCGAATGCCATTCTAAAGGAATTGCACTCAAAATTTCATACGAAAAAATCATTCTGTCGTAAAAACCTTCTCCTGGCAATTACGAACAACCAAAAAAAATGTTAACCAAATCGGCCCAACCGTTCTCAATTGATGAATTACCATACATTTTTCACACCATTTTTATATATATATGTAGATTTAGATATGGGTGTGAGTCGAAAGAAATTTATGAAAGCTTTAGTTTGAAAATATTTTTAATTAGGCTGGCCACCTTTTCGAAAAAAAAACATATCGACCTAAAAGTATATGTATATGTATGGGCATTATACGAGAAGGTATTTTGTGTGATAATCATTCGTCAGCGTGCTTTTGAATTTCAAAAATGAGAGGTCTAATTAAAGACCCTAACCTGTAAATGTGCGATAAAGTTTTATTTTTTTACTTAAGATCTTTTTTTATCGGTAAAGGGTGATTTGAAATTTGATGAAATTTAAAACCTGCACTATGCGAAACCTCTCTTCACTAAAAAACGGCTACACGGATGTGGATGATCGCTTATAACTGTGACTAATATTTTGAATATTTTTTAGGGTTTTTAAGGTCAATTTTGGGCGTTTTAACGCCATGCGGGTTCACTAGTTAAATACAAAATGCTGATTACTCTAAATAAAACAATGATATTATTGGTTATTACGAATGACTTTACATAAACATAGCCTCAAATATTCAGAAGTCATTCTCGCACACATATTTATAGTATATTCACTACCATTTCCCGGACTAATTTTGACTATTTCTGACAAATTCGGACTCGTACTGGGCTCTATCATGGTCAAGAATCCATCAAAACTCGTTTCTGGTGTCAGTCTGAATGACTCATGGAAACACCGAAAAAATCATCAAGAAAAACAAAAAATAGCACACACTCCAAGGATGTGACGTACATAAATGCACGATATACTTGGCCCATTCCTTATATTTTCTGACTAAAATCTGAAAGTGTCAAAATGCAAGGGCATAGGAACAATGCGCTCACTAAAAGAGAACAGAAAAAAGTAAAGGAACACAAAAAAAAAAAATTTTTAGTCCAAAGATTGGCTATAACAAAACTAACGTCAAATAAAAATAGAAATGTATGTACAAAACACTATCTACTACTACTACTTATATCAATTATTTTTTTGCCTCCTTCCATTTTCAATTAATTTTTTTTTTTTAGTTTTTCGATTATTTTCACCAGGAAACACTTCTATTCTGGTAGATAAGGAACCGTACTACATGGTAACTGGGGGAATTTGACAAAATAAACGACATAGGTGAGACACTCTTTCTCTTTATTTTAATTACCAGAATGGTTTACGGGATGATAAGTGGTGCTGGATTAAGTGCTATCAGGGGATTCTATAGTGGTTGGTCACTGCAGTTAGTCTATCAAAGCTTCCATGGCGAATAACTGTTGGATCCCCTGTGGCATTCCCGGTAAATCCATTGCCCCTACCTTATAGCGGAATCAAAGAAAGCTGTATGGACTAAATTCATATCCCGCTATTTTTTGTTCTTAAGAAAAAAATCAACACATTGGCGGCTTGGCAAAATCTTGGTGAGCAGCCTTGCTTCTTAAGTGGAAACACGCTTCCAAGTTGGCAGGTTGGTCCTGTATATAGTCTTGCATTTAACTAATAGAAATATGTAAATACTCACTGGCTGTTTACTGTACTGGTTACCGCAATTGCGTCTCCATTCGGTGCTAGTACTGCAATATTTGCAGTTCCTTTGTCGTTTTCATTTGTAAAATTTGCACCGTAATGACCGAAATCTGTGTAGGTTCGATCGTCCGAGATAAGCTTACGGGTTTCGGCCGCAAAACTGGAGCTAAGCAAATTGTTATAGGTTTCTGCTACACCTGGCTCATAGTGTATATCTCCCAGAGAAGTTCGATGGCCGTATGCATGTTTGAAAGTCTCAACCAGCCTATGCCAAAATACTGTTTCATTTTCAGCATACATCGGTTCCATTACCTTAAGTATGAAAGCTAGCACAGCACCACTTGTTGGCAAAGGAGTGGTATACAAGGTGTAACCTTGTTCGAAATTTACTTTCACAGAGTCTTCCCACCGTACTCTAGGGAGAAGAATGTTGTGTAAACGCAGAAAACGTTACCAAACGTACATATACTTACTCGTAATTTTGCAAATCTGCCTCTGTTATAATTCCATCCATC